CGAGCATACAAACAAACAATCAATCAGTAAACAAACAAACAAACAGACAAACAAACAAACAAACAAACAAACAAACAAACAAAAACAAACAACGAACTCCTACATTAACACACCATGATTTTAATTCATTGCGAAAATACAATTCAATATTAATTGAATGAGAAGTCTGTAGAAAACTGGAGAAATAGTAACAATATCTCCACATCACAAGTAGGCCTAATCATTTCAAGTTTAAAAAAAAACAATTGGCGAACACGTTTCAAGAAAGATGTAGATGAAATAAAAATTTTTATTTATAAGTGGATAGAAAAGTTGGTCAAACGCAAAAAATGATGATGAAATAAAAAAAACAATCTTACACTAAAAGACATGTCAGTCTTTAGCAAAGCGATATCATAGCAATTTTATGTGAATATTGATTATAATAATTACTATAATAAATTCATCATAGCAATTTTATGACAATAATGATTATAATAATTACTATAATAAATAATAATAAATAACTAATAGTAATAATAATAGAAATAAAAATAATATAATAATGAATCTTATTATTATTACTAAATATTTATATAGTTCATTATGCACACAGCGTCAATTGTGCTCAAATGAGCTAGTGTCAAAGAGCATGTAATATTTTAATGTGAAAAAATTATAAAAAAAAATTTATAAAAAATTTAAATGGTGGTGCTGACAGAGAGGTGTGCAGATGAAAAAATGACGTCGTTTGCTGCATTCGTGACCTCAACATTGTACCTCCCTTCATTAACCTTCGTCACAGCATTCAGGGTCAAGGTCAGTATGTTGTCACGTGATTCACACGTCATTCTTGGGGGGCTGTTGTGTAAGATGAGACCGTCTTTTGACCTAGATTGATTGGATTGTACACAAATTAATTATGAAAGTTTTGTTTTGCAGTGGCGTTTTCGATGTGATGTTGTTTGGATGTAGAAAATTTCATAGGCATAATTTCATCGATCGTAACATCAACAGAATCAAACGAATAAAAAAAACCCAACCACGTGACGTCGACAACACGAACATCACTGGGTAGGACACATTTGAACGTGACGTCATCTCCAACCACGCATCTCATGTTCTCCAATTTTTCTACAAAATCGACCAAAGTTTTCGAGTCTTTATGGTTGACTGCATTTTCACCACCACCATAACCATCACCACCACCACCGCCGCCACCAGCATCAACATCATCATTCCCAATTTGCTGCACATGTTTCTGGATGATTGTTGGTGGATCTATTTCAGTGGCGGACTCATCACCTCCCTCCATGCTGGCTCGGTCGAAGCTGGAACATGCAGATGATATGGAATCTCCTTCGTCAGCTTCTGCTTCTATTTACAAACGATGCAACTTTATTCAATGGTTCATATTAGAATTAAGAGTTAAGTGTGATCTAATGCGAAGATTACATTGCGCTTATGACACTCCAGCGAACGAAATGTCAACTACTCTGCTTCTGCGACGAACGCATGGGCGAGAGCACGGTTATAAATTTTTACAGAATTTATAAAGGTGAATGCTATAGATTAACTTAATTTGATAATTATGTGAAAAATTAATAAGAACCGCTATCAAATTAAGATTGATTGATGGATTAAAAGCCGATAAATGCTTATACGAAATAAATTTTCTATATATTTTCAGAGCATGTAAAAAGATGCTGACAAAAATATCCGACAAACCCAACAGAAACTGTTTCGATTGCTTAAACAAAGAAGCGACTTGAATCATAACAGCTTCAAATAAATTACCCACGTAAAAATTATCCAATGAATTGCAGCGAATAAACGAGAAATAATAAATTACCTGGAATCTCTTTATTTCGTTCATCTGCCTTATTGTTTACTGCACCAGCATATGCAGACTCTGCTGCTTGTTGTGTGGTCTTCAGGGCAAAATTTGTGTTATTGTTGTTGTCAGTTGGTTTGTTGTTGTTGTTGTTGTCAGTTGGTTTGTTGTTGTTGTTTTTTGTATCGTCTAACCAGGAGTTGGTCGTTAAAGCATTGTTTCTGCTGAGGCTGTTGTGTGTGTGTGTGCGTGTGCGTGCGTGCGTGTGCGTGTGCGTGTGTGTGTGTGCAGTTGGTTGTTGGATGTTGTTTGTTTAGTTTTTGCAATGTTGTTGCAGAATATAGTTACACGATCAGATAGCATATAAACATAATAACGGCGTCCCAAAGTAACAAAATAATAGCCTAACATGATGACATCGTAGACTACAAACACTCAGAAACATCTTCAGAACAACAATACTTGATTTAATTTCAGCAACACAACGTAGTAACAATGACAAGCAACAATGACAACACATCAATGACAACAACGACAAGAACAAACGACAACGTTGACAACGACAAGAGCCACAAAAAGATCAGCTGTCGGCAGTGATCAGCGTCACGCACCTCCGCCGTGCTGCTGTGTCTCCTTTCTTCCACGAGAATTCTGTTTTTGAACAAATTTATGAACCACTTGAATTAATTTCAGTGCAATATGCATCTATACCACATAAAACCAAATGAACTCCAATCTTATCTAAGTGCCCTAGACCGACAATACCTCACATCATATCAATCCACACCACAATCCCATCTTATCATATAATATCTCATCGTATGACTTCATTTTGTGATATACTATCTCATATCGATTGACATAAGCCATTAAATACGAACACTTGGCATTTCTCTTCATATATAAAGTACATCATCAGCGTAGAGACGGAGCACTCGTCAAAAACATCATCCCATCCCACAAACGTATCACACAAAGACAGGCAACGACAAGATCCAACGACAACAACCAACTTTGCACGTTGAGATCAGCCCTGGTGCTGCAGGCTCCCAACTTGTTGCTGGCTTCACAGACGTACAACCCAACATCCTCATCCTGCACGCTGTTGATGTTCAACATGGCCAGGCCGTTCCGTGTCCAGAAACTGTACTTGCCTATCAAGCCAGTCTCCAACAACTGCCTCTCTTCATGGAACCTGCCAGAAAACATGCAACATGCAACAATTATATCTCCGATGATGGATGGATGGAAGGATGGATGTATGGATGGATGGATGGATGGATGGATATATGGATAGATAAATGGATGGATGGATGAATTCACAATTAAATAAGTGGATGCATGTTATTATTTATAAATAAAAAAGAAATGAGAAAAAAAGAAAAAAAAGGAATGAAAAAAATAGCAGGATGAATAAATGGATGAATGTATACATGGATTGATAGATGAATAGACGGACGCATACACAATCACGCGAATGATGTGATAATATGTCGATAGAAACAAATAATAGGTTGAACACATTCCTTAAATTAGCCAACCAACCGACCGACCGACTGATCAAACCAGCCAGCCAACCAGCCAACCAACCAATCAACCAACCAACCAAATGGCCATCTAACTAACCATCTGATGGTGGGCTCGGGCCTGCCGTGGAACTTGCACTTGAACCTGGCCAGTGTGCCTTCGTATGCGTCTGTGTTGTTCAACTCAGTTATCACCTGTGGTGGATGGTCCGGTAGTTCTGAAAGGTTGGTGGTGTTGTTAACGTTGTCGTTCATTTGTTTTTATGGATTTGTTGTACTGAAATGTTATTATGAATAAAACTGATGCCGCTGATAAACGCTGCAAAGTTAAAATTGTTTTTTTAGCTTTGTTAACAATAAATTTGAATTTATTACTTTCCTATATTAAAAGTTAATATGAAAAATGAAATATAAAAATGAAAATGATAAACTAGAATGTAGAGACGGTAACATATTATGATGTTGGATGCATACAAGAAGCAAACGAAAAAACATAAACAAACAAATAATGAACAAACAAACAAATAGACAAACAAACAAACAAATAGAAAGACAGACAGACAGACAAACAGACAAACAAACAAAGATCAGAGACAGACCCATCACGATTTCTCTCTCTAGAGCGATGCCATCTTGCGAGACCCTGAGGAAGGCCGCCCCTTCGTACGCCAGTCTGCCTATCGGTAGGACATCCTCTCTGTACTTCTGAATAGTGGAGGCGTTCATCACGATGATGATGTAAATGATGATGATGTGGATGGCAATGTGAATGATTAATCATACGAGTAATATGATTATATACACAAATAACGATGTAATTACTGCTGAAGGTCCAACTGATCATATCACGATGATGATGATGGTGATGATACATGTAAAATGATCGGTGATACATGTAAAATGATCGGTGATACATGTAAAATGATGGTGATACATGTAAAATGATCGGTGATACATGTAAAATGATCGGTGATACATGTAAAATGATCGGTGATACATGTAAAATGATCGGTGATACATGGTAAAATGAATAATGATATTAGTCACGTTGTGGTAATTTTCTTTTATTATTCTTTAAAAAATAAAAATGTGACAGACGTAAGAACTGTTAAAACGTGCAAAAGAATCATATAAAATGAGGAAAATATATAACGGAGCAAGAATGTAAGTAAGCATGGAAAATAAAATGTTGAAGATGACGTAAAACTGATGACGCTGATCAACCTGTTGGAGTTTGTTGTTGTAGGACATGAGCGTATCTGAAGAGTTCAAGATTTTGTTGGCGGCCGAAAGCTTCGCCTCTGCTTCTCCCTGTTTGTTGATGGTGATGAGAAGAATGATGATGGCGGTTACGACGATGATGATGTTCACAATGATGATAAGGATGATGATTGCAATGCTAATGTTGATTACGGATGATTGAAATAGTGGCAGTGATAATCAATATTTCTCCCACAACCAACGTTTAAACATTTAAAAATTCAAAATATTTTTTCTGTTAAAATAAGGTGTAGAAACATATCTTAAATAAAATAAACCCGAGAATTTATTACAAAATAACACTCAAGAGAAAGAAGGAGAAACAAATCGATATTTTTTTTTTTACTGATGCAGTTTTATATACTTTTAAAACTCTTGAAAAACATCTAACAAATGACCATTCAAATGAAATCGTAAAATAAAAAACTAAGAAAAGTAGAGCGAACATTGAGCCAGGGGTGAGCCAGAGCCTCAACCATGCTCATCCTCTTGACGGGCTCCCTGCGAAGACACCTGCTGATCCAGTTCTGGCAGTAGTTGGAGACGTCTGTCCAGGTGTCCTCATTGAAGGCCACCTCATCGTGTGATGTGATTCTGTTGTACGCCTCGTCCAACTCAGCTGACTCGAAAAGTTGCGTTCCTGACACTCTGACAGGATGATAATGTTGGTAGGGTTGACGATTTCAATTTATGTGCATGTTGTAATGAAATTGAAAGAAAGAAGGCTGACGATAAATATTTTCATTTAAATTAGTGATGACGATAATAATTACGGCAGGGATGATGGTGATAAAATGATGACGACTGATGACGACTGATGACGGTGGCCAATGTAGTAGTGAGATAGCTTTGGAGTGAGTAGGAAAAATAGTAACGACAATGATGGCGATGAGTGCCGGAAACAAAAAAACAATCAAAATAAAGAGACTTACAATAAGTAGGCCAGCACTCCAAGATTCCAGACGTCAGAATAAAATGAGACCGGTTCAAAGGTCAAGAGTTCAGGAGGGCAAAAACTAATTGACGGGTAAACGACACGAACCGACCTATCTGGATCCAGCTTCTGAGACGTTCCGAAGTTTGTCAGTTTCAAATTCTCAGACTTCGATGTTGTGAAGAAAATTGTTTCTGGCTGGTTATTGAAAAATCAGTCATTACAATTAAAATAAAAAAACTATTTTTTTTATCACAAACAGGTAACCTTATTTTTGACATTTGTTGGCAACTTTTTTTACCAACTTTTTGTCATTGGAATCACAACAAAATTTAAACAAAACCATCTTCACTAACCCTGATGTCCAAGTTGACGATATCGTTGACGTGCATGAAAGCGACAGCTTGACATATTTGTCTCATGTAATTGATAATCCTGACCTCTGTGTGACCCACATTCAACAGCTTGGTAATTAGGTCAGGTCCTGACAAACTGCAATCAAATTACAGCTGGTTACAATACAATTTCGTCAACTACAATATTTTAATAACATTCATTTATAATATAAGATGCCATGGAGCGTTAATATTTGTGCCATCATCCATCTAGCATGGTTTGTTAACGTAACAAATAAAATCCTATTGACAAATTCATTTATAAATGTTAATTCTAACAATTCATAAACGAAAGCAATTTCTCCATCAGTTTCGAAAGCATCGTGGAGGTAGATGATGCCGCACTGATGTCGGTGGTGCAGAGACTGGTGTTGATGCGTTAGCAGGTTCGTAATGTCCACCTCCCTCCTCATCAGCAACTTCTCAGCCGACGTGCTCATGGAGAATCGGACGAGGTAGTTGCGATCCGTGGACTTCTCAATCACCCGGTGCATCATCCCGAACTGACCCCTGAATTCAACATTATTACCGACATTTTTGTCAGTTGCATTCAATTTGTCTAGGTCATGATCCACATCCTCATCATTATCATTACCACCTTTATCATTATCGAATTCACCATAAACAGCCGACAACAACGACACGCACCACCAGCGTCACCAGCAGCCACACAAATGATATCATCAACCCTATCAGATCGAACCACCTGGATATCTCCTCGCATATCTTGTACTTCATGTTCAGGGCAGTTTCACACTTCAACTTGTTCACATCAATTCTCGAGCACTCGACATCAGACGTTGTAACTGTTGTTGTGGTTGGTGGGCCGACATTTTATGTAATAATGTAAAGTAATCACTATTACTACTTCAAGACAACAACCATCTCAACCACCACCATCATTCTTTCGCGACTGAACTAACCAAATTTATCGTAATCAAAATTCTGGCACGACGTCATCTTAATCCTCGCCCAATCAGAAGCCTGGCTTTCCTCACTCGTGCCGTATACGTTGCGCGCCTTCACCCGAAACGCATATTGACCTAAAAATTGTTCACGATAGCTGTGCTTAGCGTTGAATGACCATGCAACTTCAAAACTAATATAACTTTATTCAACTGTTTACTTTACATCTTGCATAACATTTCCAACTTTGCAAATAAAATCGTCATCAAGTTGTTCACATGATAGCATACAACCTTTTAAAAAATTCAATTATTAGTTTTGGAAAACTAGTAAACAAGATTGTTAAAAAGTTTCCAGTTTACTATGCTCTGAAATCATGAATATGATTGAAAAAATGTAGAGTAAAAGTTAATAAAAGATTTACTCAAAATTAAAATTTGAAATGTGTTTGTTTCTAATTTAGTCTAAAAAATGTAGCAACAAAATCTAACTATTTTTCTTCAATCCAGTTACTGTGATCCTGTTGAAGGTAGTTGAGCCGGCCAGCTTCCACCTGCCTGCCACTTTTTCACACTCCTCGACTATGTACTCCAAAATTGGCGACCCGCCATCGTCGGAAGAAGGCGACCAAGTGACCACACACGAACTGTCCGTGACATCTAGCACTTGAGGTTTGTTGGAAACACTACCTGGTCGATCTGTGAAAATTATTTCGTTGGTTTTGTGTTGATCTCGATGTCATATGCTGATTATGTTGAAGTCAGGTGTTGCTCGACATACTGCAGTTTGATCATAACAACATTCAGTTGATGTCAGCGCTGTTGTTGTTGTTGTTTTGTCTCTGTCGTTCAATAGAAATAAAAATACTACATAAATAAATTGTTCGTTTTTATTTTGATAATTTGAATTTTTGAAATTTGTAAACTAGTAAAAATTTGTAAATGGTGTGGGAGTTCCAATGTTGCTGTACCAAACATTTTAATTATCATGTAGCAAATAATAATTTCATGAGTTGTTATGTTTTGTTATCATTGCAAGGATGAAAATAAAAAAATTATTGTTCTAACTTAGGAGAATTTTCAGCATATTTGCAAACAAAATTATCATAAAAGTAGACAATGTTTCTGAAAACTAAAGAGCCCATCATCGTGAAGAACGCGCCAACGCCAGCAGCAGCACAGCAGCGCCAACAGACAGATAAACAAGCACTGCTAACCAGTAACATTAACAGGGAAGGAGGCTTCGTCGAAGCCCATGTAGTTTCTGATCTTAATGCAGTAGGTGCCCACATCCCCTCTGCTGCAGTTCCTCACCAACATCGTGGCACTGGTGTCATCTTGTTCGAAGGATATCCGCTCGTTCGCCTCCACCAAGGTACCATTTTTCATCCACTGAACTTCGGGGCTCGGTCTGCCGTTGATGGGAACTCTGACCTTCATCGTCGAGCCCCTCGTGAAGTACAAGCCCTCAAATGTCTTCTGCGTCATTCGCAGTTTTGCAGAACCTGCGCCATATGAATTGGAGTAAGTGGAAACTCATAAGATCGCTATTAAATATTGCGCAAAAGTTCATTTTCCGTATGAAGATCTTATAATAATAAGTAAATAGCTTATTTCTAAACTTCATTCGTTTAAATAACTATAGCGATGCAAACATTTCAAAGTTGAGCTTTAAATGGAGAACGATATTAACAAATAAAAAATTACACATTTCCAAATAAATAAACTTGCATTTGGCTTAAATTTGAGAAGAAAAAAAGTAAACATTAGATTCCCAAAGTGGCTAGGTAATGTAGTTTAAATTAAACTCTTCTTACAGAAAACAGGTATCTGACATGTATTAATAAATATAAATCATCAGTGTTTAAAATGTTGCTAAAAATGTAAAGAGCAAGCCTATTAAAAAAATTTTTTGAGCCATCACAATAAGAAAAAAACAAACGAAGCAGCAACTTACTGTGGATGGTGAGATATGCCCTGGTGGCTGTCGTGGCCAGCTCGTTGAAGACCCTGCACTCCACCTCGCCACAGTCTCCCTCCACAACTCCGTGTATCGTCAGGCGGGAGTGGCTGTCATCTTCCGAAGATTCAATTTTGTGTTTGTGTCCGTCAAACACCTCGCAAAAATTTTTAAACCTAAGTTTGGGCAGTTTTTGAAAAGTAGTCAATTTACACCGTGGTGAAAACTTGAAATTTTTACATATAATTTTAAATAGTGCAACGTTAATTGTTAACACAAGTAAAATACCCCATCATAAGCATTCAACCTAACACATCAATTACACGAATCTACATAAGCAGATTAATCAGAAACTGACCATCTAACTTTCGGATGAGGATTGCCAGCGTACGAACACTCGAAGACGGCCTCGTGTCCTTCCACTGCGATCACATCCTTCAACTTACTTACAAACTTTGCAGGTTGTTCTTCTGGTCGGTGGAAAGGTCAAATCAAATTAGTTTTTCGACAAAATCTGATATCTACCGAAATCATATATCCATAAAAATCATGTATCTTTTGAAATCATATTTCCGTAAAATCATATATGCATAGAATCAAAATCATATATCCGTAAAAACCATATATATTCATTGAAATCTTACAATTATCAAAATAATATATCCATCAAAATCACTTATCTGTCATATTATTAAAAAATTGAACAGGTTAAGTGGACAGAGTCTGCTAAACCGTTTCTATATATCAAAATTCTATAAAAAAAATAACTTAAATAATATAATAATATTCTAATTTGCTATAAAGATAACAAAAAACACATACGAACAAAGAACTACGCATTATTTTTCAAAATAATTATTCATAAATAAGCAACAATGAATCATAATTTCTTTAAAGCTTAACTTAGATGCAAACAATGATTTTTTAAATAAAAAAAGTACTGAAATAAAAAGAATGAGTAACGATAATAATTGATCTAAAATAATTATAAAATATAACCGAATAAAATGAAATAACCCAAGTAAACTGACCTTTAGACTTGTAGAAGTAAGGTTTGGACATATGAGACGGAGGACTGATGCCAGCCGAGTTGCGTGCAAATACTCTGAATTCGTACTCCACACCTTCCTGAAGTTCTTCAATCAAGACTGGAGGCTTCTTCACAATCTTTTTGCAAACTTTTAATCTGTGTGGTCCTCGTATTTCGCGCTTCTCGATTATATAATGCAAGATTTCAGAGTGGTTTATAAGGAAGTTGCTATCGTCTTGTTGATCATCTCCGGCTTTATGTGTTTTGTGTTCTTCTGACGTGCTGATATTGGCATCCCCATTAAGGCTGCTTACCTCCGTCTCCCACACTACATAACATCGATTGCCTTCGTTGCACTCTTTAACCCAAGGTTGGCTTGGTTTCTCTGGAAAGACTGAATGTGATTGACGATTGTTCAATGCAAGCCACTATGTATGGTGTAAAAATGATTTTGCATGACAAAGAAAAAATTTACTTTAAAAAAAAATCCAATTTCCGAATTCAATAAATAGAAAAAAGATTAAATCAACCAAAGAAAATTGTAAAAAATCGTGTAAAACGTGACCTGCAGATGTTAGCAAATTTTGAATTTTGATTGGTTCCTCCAGTTCCTTTGATGGGCCAACCCCATACGAGTTGGCAGCACTGACTCTTAAGAAATAACCTTTGTCTAGACACATGTTAGCAAGCTCACAGCTGTTTGCGTCCGGGGGAAGTTTGGACAGAAGATGCCACTCATGGCTGCCCTCCTCTCGCTTCTCGAGCACGTAACCAGTCAAATCAGCGAGAATTGCATCCTTTGGAGGACTCCAAGAAACTTGCACTGCCGAACTGTCAACCAGAGCTATTGACAGAGACGTTGGAGCACAAGGGACTCCTGCAATGAAAACTCCATTCTTACAACTGTTTAACAATTGTTCACCATTGTTAAAAACAAATAATGATCGAAAGAATGGATTGTCAAGAAAAAAAACTACCTGCTGATTTTAGGCCTTCTTTCATTATTTTGCACTTCAACATCTCAACATTCTCCTCGCCAATGTCAAAACTTGTGGAGACATCTGACGACAAAGAAAGACGCAGCCCATAACGACGAATGTTAGAGATAAAAACCAAGTGTTGAGAATATCAGTTAAGCAAGGTTTTAGTCATTATTCACACAGCAATTTAAAGTAGTGATTAAGTATTAAAAACGTGGTATTTATTATTCTATACAAATATGAATAATTTAAAATAAATGTAATTGCTATAAAACCATTTACCACTTTTCATGCTAACATCTTCGTCGTCTTCATCATCAACGATCGAATCAACCCCGCACTGAATCTCAAGGTCGTTTCCCTTGGTGACTTTAAACTTTTGAGGCAATTTCCTTACAAAAAGTGGTTTGCTGCCCATGTTGCCCGCGTTACTACAGTACAGTTCCAGTGGGTTCCCTTCAACAATTTCAAGTTTCAACGGAAGCTTACGGATGAACCAAGGCCTGCCGGCTCCTGGAACTAACGTTCAGTTTGTGTAAATTTAAAATGATTATGTTATTTTTTCCGGTGTTTATATATCAACATATTTCAAAATTATTGTAATTTCAGAACATTTTCCTGGCACCTACCTGTCAGTCGCATAGATACGTCAGCTACAGACAACTCCAAAAACTTGCCGACACCACACACATTCTCAGCAGCAACTCTGAATGACGCCGATCGACTGAAGAGCAACGGTGTCAAGTTGACGTGAAACTTTTTTGCCGCAATATCATCGCATCCTACCTTGCTCCCGCTCTCTTGCTCGCTCATCTCAACAGCAGTTCTCCTTTCAGCTGGCACGGAACAACAAAACGACCACGATCCGTCCATTGGGTCTTGCCTCTCAATCATGTACCTCACAATTTCATCCCCACCATCGTCATCTGGATACTCCCAACTAAGCTGGATGCTGGCTGATCCAGGTGTTGTGCATGTCCCTCTGGGAGCGGTTGAGGTGTTCTGGATGGAAAACTTGAAGTGTTTAGGAGGACCAGGTTTATCTGCAAAAGAAATGAAAAACTAAATTTACTTTCTCTGACTGAGTTATGAAAGCAGTCATCTAGTCATAACAATTCTATGAAGATATATACTATATACGCTAATATTTACCAATGAAGAAAATGTTTATTATTCCACTATCAAACCAAGTTACAGGCATCTACGAAACGAAAAAAATATTCCAGAGTGCTTTAATGTTTAATAAATCAAATTTAAATGAAACTATCAATCGATAACATTACCAACCGACAACGAGAACAGACACAAGACATTCGCATCTGCCAAACTCGTCTTGCAGTTGAGCCACATAAAGTCCAGAATGAACGTGCCGCTCAACGCTCGTCAGCAGCAAGGATGTACAGGTGGCTGTTGTTTCGTGTCTCACCACAAAATTTTTATCCACCAGGTATTCACTCTGATCCGAAGCAACGCTCGCCTCATTAACGCCCTTGCATCCATTTGATTGCGGCCTCATGTCGTTGGCATGTAAATGATACTTTGGGTTTTTAATCAATTTCATCCATTGAACTCTGGGAGAGACCGTTGATTCCGACGTGAATGGGACGTTGACGGATGTTGAAGATCCCGATATCAACGAAACCTCCATCTTTTTCAAATGTTTCATCTTCCCACCTGGGAGAATTGTTCATTTGAATAATCAATAGTGAAAACTATAATATTTGCTATTCACCAATTCAAGTCAGTGTGATAAAATAAATCATTCAAATGCCAAAAAAGAAAAGGAGCATTCTTTAAACATTTCATTTCTCAAAAAATAATTCATTTCAACTTAAAATAATCCTTGAAATAGCAGAACACAACATGGCGTAACATGATATAACAATGTACTAAATTCAACACATCAGTATAAAACAGTATAACATAACATAACGAGAAATAATGGACTCAAACGAACGTAAATACTGCCCATACCAAAATTAAACAATACATAAAAATTTATTAATTAAGTAACCTGTTTTGAGATGGTACTAAATAAATACCCCAAATACATAAAACAACTCATCAACGTCATCCCAATATACTAAACAAATTGTAATTTAAAACAATAATCTCGGTATATAACACAGACATTTGTATATATAGTTATACAAGTATCATATGTACTTGTACATTATATACAATGTGTATATAAAAGATATGAATGAGTATGTATATATATATATATATAATATATATATATAATAGATACATATATAATAGGTGTATATATAAATTGTGTACAAGTATATTTATAGAGAAGTTTGTAATACGAATGAGCAAAAGATGAGTTCTGAATGAACGAGAAAAGGATGTGTGTTTCAATGGTGGATGGGATTTTTAAGAGATGCAGCAGCAAAAAATGTTTACAAAAAACAGTGGAATGATGGAATTATGGACTAGGAGATGTTTTCACCTTGCATTCATTTGT